CTGTTATCTGAATAATTATTTCTGATTTCATTTTTCCCAGATCCTCTTTTGTTGCCAGTTCAGAGAGTCCAGGTGGTTGAGTACCAGATTGTTCCATCTCGTTTCCCTTTGGGGTTGCTGTAGGTGATCCAAAAGTCTGTTTTTGAGACTTGTTTACCTGTCTTCTCATTTCCAGGGGAGGGGGTGCTTCTGGCACCCACATGGCTCACCTTCTCTGCCCTAGGAGCTTGGGATGGCAGTGGGGTAGCTTCCTTCCAGGTTCTGGGACCAGCTCAGCTTCTCTGCCCTAGGAGCCTGGGATGGAGGCAGGGAGCTTCCTTCCAGGTGCTGGGACTGGCTGAGCTTCTCTGCCCTAGGAGCCTGGGATGGAGGCAGGGAGCTTCCTTCCAGGTGCTGGGACCAGCTCACGTTCTCTGCCCTAGGAGCCTGGGATGGAGGCGGGGAGCTTCCTTCTGGGTGCTGGGACTGGCTCACCTTCTCTGCCCTAGGAGCCTGGGATGGAGGCGGGGAGCTTCCTGGACCATAATATTATATATCTCCTCCTACATCCAGAATTCATTTACCGTCTCTGAGTTCTCGTGTCCATTATGGGATTAATTCAAAGTACAGATCTCATTAATTGAGAGTGGAGTGGCTGTTAGCAGTGACTGAGAGAATAAGAGAAAGGGAGCACAGGGAAAGACGGGTTCCTGAGTCCAGTTGGTGTGCTCTAGTTACTTCAGAAGGATAAGGCTGGGATTCTTTCGCACAGTGTGGTGAATATAATTAGCAGTAATGCATTGTATATCATCAAATAAAAGATTTTTATGTATTCACCATAAAAATGATAAATGTATAAGGTGATGAGTATGCTAACTACCCCAAAGTGATCCTTGCCAATTTATACACAGATCAAAACATCACACTGTACCTCATAAATATGTACAATTATTGGATGTTGATTAAAAATAAATTTCAAAAGAGTATAAATATGGCTTCTCAAGTTCAGTTCTTTGTACTGAGCTCTTTGAATGCAGCTCTCAATTTTAAGAACAATGAGGTAAATAAATAGGTTATCTGCCACCTACACAGCCAACATACACTGGTGATATTTACAGAATAACTGCAATAGATGCATACATGTTAGAAATAGAGGTTCCATATAACAGTTGTGTTCTCTTGTAATTCTAAAATTCAAACTCAAATGTATTACCACTTTCTTAATAAGGACACAGTCCTGCTCCATGGGGATGACTATAGCTTGACTACAACTTATGGACAACTGGATCAATATTTTATGTCATTTTTGTTTTTCAATTAGAAATCACTTGCATTTGGGTGTGATTAGCTTTCTCAGCCTGATCCCTGCTTGAGGGGGTTGAAGATTCATATTTCCTTTCATTTGCAACAACTATGCCACTGTAAGTAGAAGTTGCTGGTGCTTTCATCTACACATCTCCCTTAAAAACTGACTGGAGGGAGGGAGGAGGAAAGGGAGGGCAATGAGATTTTAAAGGAGGAATTGTGATGAGCTGTGTACATGTACCCAGTCCCTATGAGGAATGTGATTATTATAGACTACAAACATGTACAAAATATATATATATATATAGTATAAAGGATCCAAAAGGATGGAGGGTGGGGAAGGAATGGGAGGGGAAAAGGATAAAAAAGCAATTATGATGTGTCATATACATGTACCTACTCCCCACTACAAATATGTACTAATAAACATAAATACTGAAAAGTCATACTTCTAAATATCTCCTAGAAAGTCCATTGCATCGTTTTGGGGGAGAGTTGTTGTGTTAAGGGAAAATATTCTTGAGATTCCTAGAGGCCCTTTGCCTAGTTGAAAAGGTTTGTAAAGTTCATCCTTAAATATTTCTCTGTTCTTAATAAAGAATATTCTTCTCAGGTTTCTTTATCTGTGCCCCATTTTATGTGGTATAAAAATAACATTAGTATTTTTAGTACTCTATCTCAAAATTTCCTTGGCCAAATGGACCAGGACATTAGGTACATTTTCTATTTTTTGTATTTCTGCTTGTGGAAATTTTAATTAGACTGGATGTACGAGATGGCTTACTGACATAGCTGGCAGTTGTTGGCTATGATCTCAATAGGGGGACATTCACTAGAATTTTTAGAAATAACTTCTCCATATTGCTTGGGATGCTCACACCATAGTAGCAAGGGTCTAAAGGGAGCCTATAATGATCAAACATTTTAAGAGACTCATGTGGAAACTGAAAAGATTTATATGACCTACTCTCAAGGAACTGCTGAGCCTTGTCCAAATTCAAGAAAAGGAGGACTGGACTCTATTAATGTGGAAATGGGAAGAAAGTCATAGCACAGAAAAGTACAGAAAATGAAAGGTATATTTGGCCATCTTTGTAAAATACAATGTCATATTGAGTTCTTAAAGAGCCATCTATGTACACATGAAAATCACCAAGAATTATAACAAGAGTTGAGTGTTTTGCTTTATTTTCTTCTATTTTTTTTTAGAGAAAACAACAGTATGCCAAAAGCCAAAGAAGAAAGAGTGACCTGGCTCAAGAGATAAATACCACAAGTAGAGATGAAATGAATAATATATTTTGATTATATGAGACTTAAAAGTGAGAAGTTTTAGTGTGAAGGAATAATGTTGGTCACGAAGGAAATAAAGCAGACATAAACCACTTTTAGATCTGGAAAATTACTACAAGAACCAAGTCTATGGGTTTTTCAAAAGACCATGACTTTTCTGATGTGAAGCATCACAGTCACTCGGAAGATTATTAAAGAATGCAGAGGTCCACTGAAGTATGACAGAGCCTGGAGCTTTCCACTTTAATTTCTCCAAGTGATCCTGATAGCCAATGTAAGTTTGAGAACCGCTATCTTAGAAGATTTATTTCCTGCAAAGAATTCTTTAAAAGTATAATCGTTCACTGTTATCTCTATGAAGTTTTTATGTGAAAAGTTCCGTAGAAGGTTTTCCCAAATTGTGGTTTTAATCACCACTTTTACCTCATTTATAAGAATAATTTGTCTCTGTAATATAGTCAAGAGGCTATCCTATGTGTTACAAGTCATATATGAAAATGAGATGTAAACCTCCCTCTGATCTATCTTTCCATGTCTTCTTCAACCTTTTATTGCTTCTCTTGAAATTTACCTGCTCTTTTTCTCTTACTGCTTTCAATAACCATAGTAGATTTTCATAGTAGATTTATGCTAATATTGCTAAATTCTCTCTTTTAAAAAATGAGAAATACTCCAAAACCAATACCATTACCTATTTTCTTTCCCAAACCCTTAGCCTTTTGTCATCCCTTTAGAGGAGAAGAGTAGTTTGATTTTGTCCTGAATCTGCTTGGTCTTCACCCCGTATATGATTGGATTGGTTGCTGGAGGGATGGACACATAAAGGTTAGCAAAAAGTATATGGAAAGAGTGAGGAATATTGTGACCAAAACGATGTGCAAGCACAGAGAATATTGCTGGTGTGTAGAATATAAGAATGACACAAACATGGCAGCCACATGTGCTGAGGGCTTTCTGTCGGGCATCCTGGGATGGAAGATTAAAAACAGCACGAAGGATGAGAACATAGGAGATTCCAATGAGGACCAGATCTGAAGTGACAGTCATTATAGGCACCGCAAAGCCATACCAGATATTGATGGAAATATCTGCACAGGCAAGCCTGGCAATACCTATGTGCTCACAGTATGTGTGGGGAATGATAAGTGTTCTGCAGAATGGTAGTCGCTTTAATAGGAACACACATGGGAAGATGATACAAAAGCTCCTGCTGATTATACCCATCATAATCTTCATAATAATCTGACATGTGAGAATAGAGGTATATCTTAGGGGGAAGCAAATAGCAACATAGCGATCAAATGCCATGGCCAGCAGTATAGCAGAATCCATAGCAAAGCTGGAGTGGAGAAAAAACATTTGAGTAAGACATCCAGGAAATGTGATCTCCTGGCTACCCAACCAGAAGATACTGAATGTTTTTGGTACAGATGTATTAGACAGAATGAGATCTGTAGCAGCCAACATGGAGAGGAAAAAGAACATGGGCTCGTGGAGGCTGCGCTCCATGAAAATAAGGTAGAGAAGAACGCTATTGCCTACAAGGGCCACTAGGTAGAAAATAAACAAGGGAATCCCGATCCAGATGTGGAACTGCTCCAGTCCTGGGATTCCCAGTAGGATAAAGGGGCCTGGATTGAAGCTGCTCAAGTTGAATGCGGCCATTATGGTCATGGTTGGATGAATCTCATAAACTGAAAATAAAAATTTCATGACTGATTGTTATAATAATATAAAGACATCCACATCTGAGCCTTCTTCAATATGATTCTTACTTTCAGTTTGTAGGAAATGATCATTTATCCCTCTTCTATTTTCTTTCCTAATAAATAGCTGCCAAACTTTCAGTCCCAATTTTAAAACCTAATAACAATACTATTGGAATATTTTCCCAGAGACAGTCATATAACTCAATCCCAATCTTGCTTACCTATCAGCAATCCATGACGCTTTCTAAGAAAATAAGTGCATGAAATAATATTAAGCAGAGATCTATTTAATTAAAGTTAAGAATTTGGAGCAAAATTCAATGTGAAATCCCACCCGGGGAGAACTGTCATAATGTGAAGAATCACAAGGAACTTAAGAAACGCAGGCAAGTTTCTAAAACCTCAATTTATCATGCAGTCCCTTTTCTTCCTTCTTTCACCTTTCATACTGAAAGTCTGCTTGATTCTCATTACTAGTATGGAAAAGTTTACAATAAACAGCTAAAAGTGGGGAATTAGCACCTTGTCTACCTACCTTCAAAGTTTTAAATACGATAAAATAATCTATAGCTCTGCATTTCCATTCTTTTGGATCTCCCCGTGTGTCTCAAACTGTACATTTCCTTTAATCTGTTAGTAGTATTTTTGTCTTTGATCAAACTACCTTAGCCCACAAGATCATGATTTTTGTCTTTAGGAAATATTTGACTCTCCTTAATTTACTGATCTCTATTTGAATACTGAGAATTCTTCTCCTCTCTCCCAATACTGGGAATAATTCTATGACACATCCTACAACTGTACATGCTCGGTGCCCCTCAATGCTAAGCTAAACACAAGACATGTCTTCAGTAATATCTTGATCATGAAATAGAATAATTCATTGCCTATCCTTTTTTCTATTTTTATGGTGAGTGTGCCAATGTGAGGCTTTACCCTCTGCACTCCTAAATTAATAACTAATCATTACCAATCATTAGTAAGAGAATAATATCCTAAGACCTATTCTAGAATGCAACTGTTCTACTCCATTATATTTGTATAGTATGCCATGGTATTGGATACCTTGGCATTTGCCCCATCATCCAAAAGAACAGACACTGTCTTGCAAAACACTCACAAATACAAATCTATGCTTGTACATATGAGGTAACCTAAAAGTCTCTGAGCTGGCATGGCCCGTCATAAATATATCAAAGGCTAAATATATATATAAATATATATATATATTATATCAAGACTACCTATTGCCTTTAACATATCTTACATTGTTAGAGTTAGAACTTTTGACCTCCCCACCAAAAAACTAGAAATATTGTGAGGAGAGACATAGAATTCAGAATTAAGCTTCCAGCTCTTTTACATTATTATTTTACATAAGTGCAAGCTATAAAACTATTTTCACAATTCTAATCTTGGCTTTCCTACTTTCTGGAGCCTGCTTTTACACATCTCTTTCTCTCCCCCTGCCATCAGCTCCATTTCTCATCAGGTGTGTTCTCCACTATTTTTACTCCTTCTAATAGTTCCACGCTGCTCTCCGCCAGTTGATACCTTGGAATTGCTGATCCTGGAACTGTTTTTGCAAAGGCAGGATTAGGAAGACAGAGTGCAGAAATACAGCAGGCAAGAAAAAGACCAAAAAATAGGAGAAGCAACTTGAATGTCAAGAAGGATGGACACAGGGAAAAAGGGGAATGACATTGGATCATGCTCAAGGTAGTAAAGAACAAACACAGAGCTTGGAGGCGCTGTGAAAATATATAGCCCTCGATTTCTCTGTGGATTAAAGGCAAGTTAAAACAGAGGGGCTCTGAGACCTGTTAGCCTCAGGCCCCAGGGCACTAATATATTCTAGGATAGGAGAAAAGACTCAACTAAATGAATAGTTTTCCAATATAAGAACATATTATTCTGCTCAGATTAATAGTGGCTTGGGTATCTAAGAATCCAGGAGATGATGTAAGGACAAAAATGTGTATTACCTTTCCCCCTTTCCATTCCAACATTCATAGCAAACACTCCTGTAACAAAAGACAGATTTACAAGGGAAAACCATAACAAATTTATTTAATCAAAGTTTTAATTGACACAGTAGACTTTAGAAATGAAGACCCAAATATTAAAGGAGAACTGTGTGCTATGCTCAGGTTCAATGAAAAATGGGCAGCCATATATAAAGGTGATTGGACAAAAGGGGTCTGGTCCAGTAGTACTAAATGAGGTGGAGGGGGTTGCTAAGCAAGGTTTGTTTTCTCATCTGCTCCTTGGCTCCTTGGTTTAGCACTTCTTTATCTGTTGGTATGAGGTAGGACCATTCAGAAATGAAGATCTTATGGCCTACCTTCAAGGGAGGTAGATGGAGCAGTGACCTTGCCATGTTTTATGACTTTCTTTGGGAAAGAGTCCTAATTTCCATGACCTGCCCTGAGGAAGAATTCTAGTTTCTATGCCATGTTTCTAAGACTAAACAGGAAAAAGAGAAAGAAGAGGGAGACAATCAGAAAGAACTTTTTTCTGAGGTCCCATCAATTCCCTCATTTCAAAGTTCACAAATTGCCAAAGAGCTATATTTTTCAATATCATGTTCTGATACCAACTGTAACACGCCTGAATTTTTCCTTAAAAATTACCTTTCTTCTTCCAGTTTGACCAGCAACTTGATAAAGAAACTCCACAAGAGTTAGAGCTACTATGTTCTGTGGCCCAGTCTAGTACTCCTAAAATTCCTTATAGAAGCCATTTTATCTTCTGAATCCTTGGAAGAAATTATTTCACAATGGATCATCAATTAATGCTTTTTGAATTTAAATAAATCCATTCTAGGTGACAAAGCTCTGGAGCTATTTCTTACTGTAACTGACATCTGTGCAGATATGAAGAAGCTGTTCTTTGTGATGATTTATATCAAGGTCGGGCTTGCTTGACAATTCTTTTGATCTTGCTATAGAGGTTATTTAGAGTACAAGCCACTAATTTATTTGTGTAGGGTAAATCTCGAAAACAAATTACATGCAAGTATGAAATCCTTAGATAACCCACCTGGGTATTTTGTTTAATCCTTTCAACAGTAAAATGTTCCATAAAACCTTCTATTCATCCAGTGAGGAAGTCTAGTTTCTAAGGCTAGTACCGAAAATTCAAAATTTACTCATTGCCTTCCTTTGTACTAAAACAAAACTTGTAACTATTCTAGGAATCAGATTCTATATCTGTGAAAGAGAAATAATAATTTGGAAATGTTTATTTTAAACACATTTCAAAAATTGATGATGAAACAATTATCACCTTAACTATAGAGAAAATAAGTCTCTAATTTCTCCCAAATTTTCTATTTAGGTTGAATTATGAATCCATGCAGATTCCCACCAAGCATAATAGACTTCAACTCTCAACTAAAAATCTTTACATTTATCCAGTAAATATTTACTGAGTGTTTATTATGCTAGGACTGAACTGTGGAATGCTAGGATCCTTTCAGGGAATGGGAACAAAGGTAAACAAGACAGACACTAACGTAGTCTTCAGTGACCTAATAAAGAGAAGGCACAGACATTTTAAAGGCTAAATGTATAAGCAATCATCTTATCAAAGATGTGATGAACCTTGAAATTAAATGTACTTATGCCATATACATGAGACAGTAATCTAGAATACAGGATTAAAGAAAGGATATCTCAGGAAGGAGTTTTAATTGAGATCTAAAAAGGAGTTACCAAGCAAAGAATAGTGAAACAAAGAAGGCAAAATTTCATGTATTTGAGAAGCTGAAACTAGGCATGTATGGTAGCTGTATGATATTAACTCATTAACCTGCCCTATGGGGCCATTTTCTGTAGAGAACATTATCAATGACCCCTTCAGTGGGTCTCGATCTCCTGTGAGACAGTTTGATGCAAGCTGAGAGAGAGAAAGAGAGAGAGAACAAAGACACAGACACAGAGAGTTGGGGGCAAAAGCTTAGTCTCGGGCTGATCTAAGCTGCTCTGGGCAACAAAGACAAAGGGAGCCAAAGACATTCAGGGTTTACTGATTACAACTGTGGGAAGAAGGTGAGCAGGGAATGCTTTGAAAATATCTAGTGCTACAGTGTGAGGCATCTGGTGATAGTGGATATACAAGCAGGGTTGTTGAAGGGAGGCACTTCTTACAGACAGGTACTAGGATTGGGTTGCAATTAACCAGCAACTCATCAGGTCAGTGAGAAGCCATAATTCAGGGGAAAGGATTTTAATTGGGGTCAAGCTGACCTCAGCTGCATATAACTCAGCAGGGCCCTGCCACTTCACAGACCAGGCCTTAGGTCTCCATGGCAGCCACTAGGGGAGGAGCTATACTAGCCCAGTCCACCATCTTTCATGCCCATTTGAGTCATGTAAGGCTTCAGTCTGGCTCCTAATGTAAAACAATATAGCTGAATTACAGAAAAGCAAGAAGCATGTGCCACCTATATATAGCCTGCTAGTACTGGGAAGGGATGTATGCTACAATTTTCACCAACTGCTCCAAAATACAGAATGAACTTAATAAGATTCCAGATTTTTTAGCTGAGTGTGTAAAAAAGAAAGGGGAGATTAGGAGATAAATGAGATGTGACTGAAATGATGTACTATGGAATCTTAACTGGTTAGAGAAGGAAGAAAAGAGAGCTTGGAGGTAACACCTTGGTGGAAGAGATTTCTAACGAAGTTTAAATATGCATGATGCACTTATGGAGGGTACACTGTGTGCTAGGTATTTTCACTGGGTGGAGTGTAAGGAGATCTAAAGGACAAGTTGTAACATTCAAAGAGCATATGAAATAGGTGTCAGGTAGATAAATACATAAACAAATAAATATGATATTTTTTTAATAGTAGCATAAAGAAATCAGCCACTGTGTCTCTTCTGAGCTTCCAAAGGGGAGTGCAGACAACAAAGAAAATGTCAACACAGGCACACACACATTGTCACATGTCAGAATACCAAGCTCAGTCACTTTCTTGCTCACGATGATTTAATGTGATCCCCATGATTGAATATATGACTTTATTTCCTGTGGAGATATTTAAGCAAAAGGTATTGCTACCCTGGGACAGCTGCCAAAGAGGAGTGTGGACAGTTCCCACTGAGCTCCATCCAGCACACACTACATCTATGCCAAGTCTTATTTTATATAAAATAACATAAATGTTGGGTGTGACAGTGTAAAAGAAAACCTTCGCTACTGAAATTACTTGTTCAAAGAGTCAGAAAAGTGCAGATAAAGTGTAAATAAACATAAATACATAAATTTCATGATATAAGTAACATGTAAGATTTGGAGTTTCAAGGAACATCGCTTTTTATTTAATCTTTCAATGATCTGAAAGGACAACATTTATGCATAATTCTGAGGGCAATGGAATCATTGAAGAGTTTCAAGGTGCAAAGTGACACAATTGTTTGTAAACTGTAAAATCCTCAGTCTGAGAATAAATTGGAAGGGTCAAGGTAAGAACTCCCCCAAAAAACCCACTTTAAAATACTCTCAGAGACAGATCAATGGATTAGACACTCATTAACCTCAGTGTTGTAACAAAGGAGAGAATGTGATGCATACAGCTACTAGAATGACATATAAGCACCATAAACCCAAATATTCAATTCAAACATTGAATTAATTGTGTTGGTGGCTTGTAAAGGAGAAATAAAATACAGCCCACAGGTTTCAAGCTTGGTGTTCATGTTTGTTTGGTATTTTTTTTAATGGTGCCATTTACCACAAAGGAAGACCTAAGAGAAAGAGAACTTTTGTGAGATAGGAGGGATCAACTGGGATTATGCCCAGAGGCAGTCTACTATTGCGCTATCTCCCAGCCCATTTTATTTTTTATTTTGGACAAGGTCTCACTGAATTCCCCATGCTAGCCTTGAACTTGCTAATTCTCCTGCCTCAGCCTCTCAAACTACTGGAATTATAGGTCTCCATCACTACACTCATTTCCAAAGAGAAATTTTTACAAGAAGTATAGTGACTTTCCAGGTCCGTTTTGAGGAAATTCGTTTCAAGAAATGTATAAGCCATTTGTATTAGTAGATTCCCAGGAAGAAGTGTTTAAAGAGTTGAGTTCAAAATCATTTAGAACTGGCTTTAGATCCTGCCCCTATTATCTTTCTGTATTTTTGTAGGTTTCGGTCTCTTCATCTTTAAACCAAATTAACATTTCTCCTACCAAACATTTTTAGTTAATTGTACTAATGTTCCTACAACACAACCTAAAGGCTATAAAAAAATTGGATTTCCCCTGCAGTATACAATTGAAGAAAATAATTACAAAAATAACTCCACGAAATTTGAAATGAGGAAAGGAAAATAGTACAGCAAGTAAAAGACACAGGAGGAAAAAGTAAAGATGTATGGAATCTGGACTGAAGAAACAAGAAGTTCTAAATCTGATAATTCTAGTAAAGAGAACTGATAACCACTTGACACAGGGAGGTAGGGGCATTGCCTTTAATTTAGAAGCTGTAAAGCAACATAGGGTGAGTTGCATGTCAGGAAGTAGCTATCCTTAAAACATCCTCAAATTTAGCAAAAGGAATAATGGAAATCTTAGTGTTGGTGCTCTTCTGAATCCACTGTCAGCTTTTCATATAAAGAGTGAGATAACTACCTAAAATCCCTTGATTTTTCACAAATGTAGATTTTCTTTCACCTCTTTCCCTCTTGGCTATACTTGGTACATGGGCAGAATGTTTATATTTCATGTATATAGAATTTATAGATTTATCCTTATGTCTTCATATATAATATAGAATTTCACCAAATCAATTTCATCTCAACTTCTCCCTCAGGGTCCACTCATTGTGTCTTCTTCAAAAAGAAGAGAAGAATAAATTTGTCTTGGATCTGCTTGGTCTTCACTCCATAAACAACAGGATTCAGAGCGGGAGGGATAGCTACATAGAAGTTGGCAAACAGGATGAGAACATTTCGAGGGACACCATGCCCAAAGCGATGAGCAAGGATGGAGAAGAAGGCGGGTGTGTAAAACATGAGGATAACACAGACATGGGAGCCGCAGGTGTTCAGGGCCTTTTGTCGGGCACCCTGGGATGAGAGCTGAAAGACAGCATGGAGAATGAAGATATAGGAAACGGAGATGAAGATGACATCCGAGATGACAGTCATGAGAGGTACAGAAAATCCATACCAAATGTTGATGGAGATGTCAGCAGATGAAAGTCGAGCAACACCTATATGCTCACAGTATGTGTGTGGGATGATGCGTGTGCTGCAAAATGGTAACCGTTTCAGCAGAAAAACATCAGGTAGGATGACCCAGAAGCTCCTCGCAACAATGCTCACCATTAGCTTGATGATCACCTGTGGAGTCAGGATGCTGTTGTATCTCAGGGGGAAACAGATGGCCACATAGCGATCAAACGCCATTGCCAACAGGATAGCTGAGTCCACAACAAAGCTGAAATGGAGGAAAAACATCTGAGTCAGGCAACCAGAGAAGGTTATTTCTTGGGAGCCAAACCAGAGGTTACCAAGTAATTTGGGCACTGTAGTAGTGCACAAGATGAGATCTGTGCTGGCCAGCATAGAGAGGAAGAAAAACATGGGCTCATGGAGGCTCTGCTCAACTGCGATGAGGTAGAGGAGGATGCAGTTTCCCACAGTTGCCACAATGTAGATGATACAAAAGGGAATCCCAATCCAGATGTGGTACTTTTCCAGGCCAGGTATTCCAACCAGAATGAAGGAAGTGGGATTGTAACAGCTCAAGTTATACATGGTCTCTGCAGTATGGGATACACTGGTTCCTGAGCCCTGAGGAAAAATCAGTTGTCATGATGAGCAATGAAAGCTACATATTCCTTCCACTCTGCTGCTGAAAATTGTTGGGGGCTGCAATTGTCACGGTCAAGGTTTTTGCACCAGAAGTTCCTTCCTTGCCCATATTGACCTGCTGCCTAGAAAACTGACTAATCATTACCCCTTCATTTTGCCATTGGTGGCATTTGATTTCTTTATATATTTACTAGTAAAGCATATGAAATCGTTAGTTTTGGTAGGTCAGAAATCTCATATAATTAAACATAAATAACATTCTGTGTCCATGCAGATTATTGAGAATAGGCACGGGTCCAATAGGAGAAAAAAATCAAATTATCAGGAGAGCGGAGTGGGGAGAAGCAGGAGAAGGAAAGAGAATAATAAAAATACTCAAAATATGATACGGGATGAAGAAAGGAGACTAAAAGACTTTTGTACAGACAATGAATATGATAGCACAAAGAGTATGGAGAAAACATAATGAAAGGAGAAGGAAACAAAAAGAGCAGATTCCAGTGCTGGGGGTGATGAGGAAAGCATTGTTTCACAGTGGATGAAAAATGGTTCAAATGAGGACATATGCTCCTAGGGAGGTGAATGTAAGAGAAAGTCTTTATCAGAAAACACACAGTGACAAGTGAACAACATCACTCAAGCAGTGAGCTCAGGGGGTTATTTCAGACTTCAGAAGCAACATTCTGAACTCTGATGCTCTCTACTCCCTATTGTTAGTGGGACAGACAAACCTATCAATGAGACTAACAATGCCTACCTAAGAGAAAATAATGATTTGCCCTAAGCGAAGTTGAACGAAAAAGACTGTCACTTCCTACAGATGAAATAGGTTTTCTTGGGTCCCCAAAGGTTTTATCTAAAAATCTAAAGTTTATACTAAACAGAGCCTGCCTTTGGAAGTGGCTTCAACCTTGAACATGCTCTTTGATTGTTAACTCCAGATCTGTGATGCAGTTTATAGATGACTTTGAAAAGAGGAGCAAAATCAACCAGGATCGTTGACACCAGAAAGCAAGCACAGTACTGGAGAGGCCCCACAAATTATGAGCCACTATGAGCTCACTTTTAGAGGGGTTTGGCTCTTTCTCTTCCCAATAAACTTACAAAATCATTTGAAAAGGTTGTAAGGAAAAAAAGTGGACTTTGCAACCAAATCTAAACAAATCTGTTATGTTTGTTGTGTTTGGCCAGGATCAGTAGACTGGTGCACAAGAAGACTGAGTGGATCCTCGTAGGATTTTGTAACATCTCTTCAGCATCTCAATCAAAGCTGTACATAAGTGAGCTTCTTTCTCTCCCGTAGGTTTGTCATTGACAGAATCCTCAATTAAGCAAAATGAACATATTGCATCTACCTAGGAGAAACATCCCTAGTTCCATATCCAAAGGCAGCTCCTGTATGAGTAGTCTAAGTTATATCTCCTGGCTGAGGCTGACTGAACTACTATAGGTGCTGAGCTCATATAGATAATGTAGAGCAACTAGGTAGCCATAAAATACTCCTAAAATCATGGCCATATGATCTCCTGTAGCCAGAAGAGCAAGTAGGCTGAAAAGCCCCCAAATGCATCTATCATTTAGGCTACTTTGCAGTTCAGCCTCTTGGCACAGATTCATTGCCCCACAACAGTAAACACATTTCCTCAATCACAAGGAATACAGTGAAGGGGGAGAAAAATAAGTCACAAATCATTACAACTACAATGAAGAGTCTAAAGAAAACATTGCAATCAAGGTCAGCTGCTATAGTCAAAAGCTATTCTAATTTCACTTCTTTTGCCCAAAGAGCTCTTTTTTTTTTTTCCCTGAATTCCTGGTGCATCTCTATTTACATTAGCTGGTCTGCACAAGAAATCTAGTCTCTTGCCAGGCTCTGTCTCCTTATCATAGAATCACTAGGGTCAAGAAGATCTTTTCCCCAAGGCCATGTCTTTCAGGGCACAGGCCCTAGTTGGGTGCTGACTAAACTACAGACTTATTTTGTCTGAGAAAAATACACAGCAGGTAAAGATTCTGTCACTAATGGGCTGTAGTTTCAAACTCACCAGCTCTGTGTTCCGTTTCCTGGTTACCAAGCTTCCTGGAAACAATCTATTTCTAAGGAATAGAGCATAATTTTAGTATGAGAAAGACTCTTGCAAGAGCTAAATGAAAACATTTATGTATTTTTTATTCCTAAGACATTATTCAGGTTAGATGGGGGCCCCTTTATTCCCATTTCCTCAAGAGGGCTGGCACCAATCACATTGAGTCATTTCTCTTGAGATTCAATGTACCTTGAAGATTTTAATGGCCTGTGGATATTGGATCCCTGGGAGATTCAGCCCTAGACACATTCAGACCAAATCAGCTGAGGTAAAATTCTCAGAAGCCTAAGAAAATTCCTATATTTTCAATATTTTTATTCAGTTAATTTGTTTAAACGTGCACCAATATTATACAAATATAATTAAAATTATCTATATTCTTAATATTGGAGTATGAGTCCTTCAATTTTGTCCTCAATTTTTTCTTATGCAATCTCAGCTCTTTACATTAACATGAAAGTTTTATTAGTTTCTCAATCTATAAATACACAAACATGATATATTAATGACATTGAACACATATACTACAAATACAATAAAGGTATCTAGTCATTCATGTAGCTTCTTTTAATTTTCCCAATGATAGATCAAAATATCCAAATGAATTTACAACTTTTTGGATGCAGAATATATTGGTATCTAATAACCACTATAATAAATTAAATTGCTCAAAATAACAGAAATGCATCATCTTGCTGTTCAGAACTATAGCATGAGCCCATCAGGGCTAAAAACAATGTGTTGAGAAGGCTGCATTCCTTTTGGGAAATTCTAAAACAAAATCTGGTTCCTCGCATTATCCAGATAACAGAAGCCCCTTCTTCTCTTCAGAGCCTGCAATGTGATTTCTTCTTGGTGTAGTCACATTTTCCTATGACCTTCCTATTCATCTTCCTCTTCCACTTTTAAGAACCCTTGTGTTTGCATTTTGAGCTCACTGGACAACTCAACATAATCTCCCTACTTTAAGGTATACTACTTACTTTTATCTGAATTACAACCTACTGCATTTAATATGATGTTGGCAGTAGTATTTTATTACATATATACATATCACATTTTCTTTATCCAATCAACTATTGATGGGTATATAGGCAGCTTCCAGGATTTAGCTATTATGAATTGTGCTGCAATAAACATTGATATGCATGCATTGCTGTAGTATGATATTGTTAAGTCCTTTGGGGAAGATACCTAGAAAGGGGATAGCTGGGTCATAGGGAATTTCTAATTTTAGTTCTTTGGGCCATCTCCATACTGATTTCCATAATGGTTGGATTATATCAAACTAAAAAGATGCTGTACAACAAAAGAATCCAGTAGTAAAGTGAAGAGATAACCTACAGAATAGGAAGAAAAATTTTGCCAGCTAATCTTCAGACAGAGGACTAATATCTAGAATATATAAAGAATTCAAAAAAATTAAACCACCTAAAATTAAAGATACAGTCAAGAAATGGGAGAGAGCTGGGGATCTTCTCCAAAGAATTAAAAGAATCATACCACAGTGATATATGTGCATCCATGTTCATAGAAGCGCAGTTTGTAATAGCTAAAACTTGGAAACAGCCCAAATGCCCATCAACTGGAGACTGGATAAAGAAAATGTGGATTTTTTATAAAATGGAGTACTATTCAGCCATAAAAAATGAGAAATTAGAGACATTTATAGCTAAGTGGATGCACATTGAGGTAATACTCTTAAGTGAAATAAATAGGACACACATGAATAAATTCCGAATAGTTTCTCTGGTGTGAGAAACTGAAAGTGTAAATAAGGACTAAATATATAATAGGTAATGTGAAATAGGAAGAAAAGGGGCAAAGGGGAAGGAAGTGGGAGGGCTAGGGGAAAGGATAGAAGGGAATGGGATTAATATGAGAAAATGGAAAAATAGGAACAAAATCTTTGTAAATAGGGAGGACTGGAGGGGTTGAAGGGAGGGCTGGGCAAGGGTGAAAAATAAGAACCAAGAGAGACTATGTAAAGGTGCAAATTTCCAATGATGAATGTCATTCTATTGTATACCTAAAATGTACCAATGATTAGAATGAATAATCGATAATGCAAAATAGGAAGAAAAGGTCCAAAGGGGTAGGGGTAGTGGGAGGGGCAGGGGAAAGGAAAGAAGGGAAAGGAAAAATGATGAGAAATGGAAAAAATGGAAATAAAATCTTTGTAAATAGGGAAGGGTGGAGGGCATGAAGGTAGAGCTAGGAATGGGGAAAAAATAAGAACCAAGATGCATTATGTAAAGGTACAATTCCCAATGAGAAATGTAATTGTGTTGTATACCTACAATGTACCAATAAAAGAATTTAATACAAAAAAAAAGAAATGGGAGAGAAATGAATAGATACTTCATAGAGGAGGAAGTACAAATGGTCAATAAATATATGAAAAAATGTTCAACATTTCTGGCCACTAAAGAAATATAAATTAAAAAGACACTAAAATTCCATCTTACTCCAGAAAGAATAGCAGTCAACAAGAAATCAAACAATTAGGGCCGGGGATTTAGCTCAGTGGCTCCGCTGCCTGCCTCGCAAGCGCAAGGTCCTGAGTTCGATCCCCGGTACAAAAAAAAAAGAAATCAAACAATAACAAATGCTGGCATGACTGTGGTGGCAAAGTAACCCTCCTCCTACATTGTTAGTGGGAATGTAAACTAATCTATTTTATTTCGGCAGTGTCCATTGTGATTTCACCTTTTTCATTTTTTTTTAATTTTCAAATTTCATACTTAATTTTATATTTTTAAGTTTTTAAAATTTTTTGACTCTTATATTTGCAGTACATAATGATTATATTCATTGTAGGGGATTGGTAAATATACATAACAAATTTTAATTCTT